TGGAGGCTGGGTCATGATATATTATAGTTATGGATAACATCTTGAAGAACCAGTTTCTCTAAGGTAAATATTCATAGATTGTAATAGATTCACAGATTCATAGTCACCACTGGGTGAGAGAATGCAGAAAGGATGAGAGGATTGAGAATGCATATGAACTGGGAGCTGCTGATACGCTAAGATAAACAAAAGATCCCATTAACAGCCCTGAAGTTAACACACGAAGGTAGTCAAGAATGTAAAGACCCCAAGTTATGGAAGGGTACAATGGTGCTGACATGCTCATCAGAGGCTTTTTTAGATCTTCAACAAGCATGCTCTTTTGACATAGGTAGCCTGCTCACTTCCACACCGAAACAGCAAATGTATGCATTGGGAAGCAGGATACTGTTGCAATTCTGAGCATATCTGGACACGGTAATAAACTTATTGGTTGTTGTAGAGAGTGGTTTCTGAAATCCAAAATTTCCTCAATCAAGCTGCACCGGAATCCCAGCTGAATTTCCTGTGAATCCTTACTATGACTGAAATTGGGAGAAATGCAAAGAAAGCCTGAGGACAGAATTACACATCTATCTAAAATGGATCTGAAGCTCTCACCCCCTTCTGAAGGAAGGTTGTATGCTATTAGAAGGAACTGGGAATGCCAATAGGATCCAGGATAAGGAGACCCTATTTGATGTTACAGCTTCATTTATGGAATACTTGTGCCTGTCCACTAGTTGTACCCCGAAAGGACCCATCATCCTGTTTTGTATCCCTGAAAATGAACTGCAATGTTTTAGTGGGTGGAGCAAAAATTACATAGCTTTGCAGTATCTTGCCGTAACGGAGTAGAATTTGTTCTGATCATTTAAGTATTGTACTATACATTTTTCCCCAAACTGAAAAACGAACTATAGCCATATACAAGCTCCAATACTGCAGATACACAGTCAACAAAGAAAGCTGGATCCCATAAATATAGAAGCCAAGACTTTAAAAAATAAATGCATAAACTTAGGCTGTGTCCAGGCAAGCATGGCTGTGCAGTATGTGGCACTGCAGACATGTCTGGGGGTCAAAAAATGCAGACATGGTCAAACAAAACCACACCAAAAAAAGCGGAGCGGCACATGCAGGGGAAGCATGTGCCACTCAAAACCAGCCAGGCTGGCCAGAGCCAAGCTTCGGCTGCCAGCCAGGCTCTGGGCGGCCTGATTGCTGCTGCTGAAGCCCCAGAAGGGCCCCAGGTAAGGCTGCTGGGACCAGCCCAGTGCTGGCCTCTGCCTCCTCTACCCCACCCAGGGTAACCTGCCATGCACCAGAGGGCACATGGCATAGGAGATTCCTGGGGACAACTAGCAGTGGCACAAGGTCCCACTGCTAGTTGTCCCCAGGGAACCAAACATCCACGCTCGTGTAGATGCAGTCTCAGGTTCTCAAAATCCTTGCTTATGTACCCAAATCTAATACAAACAAGAATGTAGAAGCCTAGCTTCAACAATTCATTTTTAAAGATGTGATCATATTATCATCTTATTTAACAAAGTAGAAAAGAACTGTACTACATTTCTCATCTTGTGATGAATGACAGTTTTCTCAGACAGTGATATTGAGATCCTGAGCTAACTTCCACTGATCAACTGAAATTGTATTCTCAAATAGCTGAGACACTGCTAAAAGACCTTGCAGTGAGAGGAAGTTTAGTTTATGTTGAGATATCCCCCCAAAACACACAAAAGTTGTATTTTATTGCCCTTGTCTTTAGTGATTATAGTGTTAAATGTAAAACCACACCTCTGATTTCGCTCTAAAGGACTACCGTGTGGGACACTTCAAACTATGTAAGTGATACAGGAATGGCAATTTATATAGAAGGCTTATAACCATGGTTTTTCCCCCATGTTCAATAAAGTTGTAAAACAATCATATGAAGATTTTTTTCTGATTTGAAATTACACATATTACAAGATAATAAGAAGCACAAATGAAACATGGAAAGGGAGAGATCTTATCACATGTCAAAAATCACTTTACCTCTGAATCTTTGAGTCTCACATAATTAGAAGGAAAGACTCCTGATTTATCACCCAATGTTCCTGTCCACCAGTCACCATCTTTCTTTGTCACAAGAATCAGATCTCCTTGTTGAAAGGTTAAGTCTCCTTGTTCTGAACTCTCATAAGTGTACATAGCAATGTATTCTGGAGAAGACAAATAATTAGAAAAAAAGGAGAAAAGCTTGATCAGAATAATTTGTAAACCCTACCTTTTGAAAGAAGAATCATAATGTAATACCGTCTGTCAACGGCAGTGGTTCTCAGCCTTTTTAGACTCAAGGTACCCCTCTGAAAGTGCCAGCTCTTAGTTTTCACTTGTTTCTTGACTACAGGAAAATAACAGAGCAAACTTTCTGTTGCAAAGAACTCAGAAAAACCACAACAGGTCACAAGGTTTTTTATACTATTAGAAATAGCTGCATTTATACTGTGAATTATGTGCAGGTGTTTGAACATTTAATATCGCAGGGCATCTCATGGCTCCCTTAAAAGTTGCTCATGACACCCTGCTTGAGAGTCACCGATCTACAAGTTAGTTTACCATTTTCTTTCCTAAAGCTTCTGTGGGGGCAATATTTCATGCTAAAACATCAATTTTTTTCTCCATAAAAGAGATTTAATATTTAATTTCTGAAACTAGAACTGTTCCAGGATTAAACTCCTTTAAAGCTTTTCACAGTTAAAATCTTCTAGTACATTTAATTAAACTAGCCACAAACTGCCAACATGATCAAAATGTATACAGACTCTTTTTCTTAAAAAAGTTTCAGCTGAATATTTTCTATGGCTTCAACTGTATGTTGAAAATTAGCATTTTCAGTCTTGGGGATAGAAAACCCCAGTCTGACCATCTGTAGATAGTCTTAATTTTATATATGTTGCTTGGCTCTCATGTACAATGAATTCTTTCATTATTGAAGCTTTCTATAGAGAATGCACATCTCATTACACCCTACACAACAGATGGCTTGCAAATGTTACAACAAAGCTGGAATACATACTATTTTGTTAAAACATGGTCAGCTACTTAGTATTCAAGTGCAAAAAATACTGAAATAGGCTGACACTGACAAATGCAAAAAAAGAGAAGATTCATGGTTAAGAGGGTAAATGTGATTCTTAGACTAATCAAGAGCATGCCACCAATGTGCAGAGATACATAACATATTCCCAAAGCTAATATCCTCTAAAAACCACTGCAAATTATACACTCCACTTATGTGATGAGATCCAGATGCCGGCATGGTAAAAAAAAAAAAAAAAAAAAAAAAAAAAAAAAAAAAAAAAAAAAAAAAAAAAAAAAAAAAAAAAAAAAAAAAAAAAAAAAAAAAAAAAAAAAAAAAAAAAAAAAAAAAAAAAAAAAAAAAAAAAAAAAAAAAAAAAAAAAAAAAAAAAAAAAAAAAAAAAAAAAAAAAAAAAAAAAAAAAAAAAAAAAAAAAAAAAAAAAAAAAAAAAAAAAAAAAAAAAAAAAAAAAAAAAAAAAAAAAAAAAAAAAAAAAAAAAAAAAAAAAAAAAAAAAAAAAAAAAAAAAAAAAAAAAAAAAAAAAAAAAAAAAAAAAAAAAAAAAAAAAAAAAAAAAAAAAAAAAAAAAAAAAAAAAAAAAAAAAAAAAAAAAAAAAAAAAAAAAAAAAAAAAAAAAAAAAAAAAAAAAAAAAAAAAAAAAAAAAAAAAAAAAAAAAAAAAAAAAAAAAAAAAAAAAAAAAAAAAAAAAAAAAAAAAAAAAAAAAAAAAAAAAAAAAAAAAAAAAAAGGGAATGAGAATTTTGCAGCAGCCTGCAATTCTCATATATGTTTGAATTTTAACTCTGACCCAAAAGCTTAATTCTGTTGCTGAAAAGCAAACAAATGTAGAGCAAATACTGTTCTCTAAGATCTCCTACCTAGCATATATTTACACACACACACACACACACACACACACACACACACACACACACACCCAGTAGCTTGTAATTTCTCTAAGAGGACACAAAGGTACCAAAATCTATACAACACATTTTTTCAAAATTAATATTTGAAAGTATATATTCTTAAAAAGTACTCAGATAATCAAACAGCACACTATCAAAGTTATGACTAAGGACGCATTTCGCTTAAATCCGTATGGCAAACAGAGGGACAGTATTTGTTATTTTGGCATTTGCTTTCTAACAACATCAAAAAACATAAAGCAAAACACATTTTAGATTCTTTCTACAATTTCACTCTCCATAACAGAACAATTTATAAATGTTCTTCTTTTAAATTTTTGTATTATTCTTAGCAGTAGCAAAATACAGATGCTATTACAAGAAAAGTAAATGTGTTAAAATTGTCTGAAGTAATTTCTAGTATTTTTTTAATCATATGTAGAATTCTAGTTAGAAATATAAAGCATTGTGAAGAGGTCTGCTGCTCTCAAGACATTACTATTTTATAGAGTAAATTTTGATTCACACATACATGAGAGTGTGTGCATGCACACACACACACACACACACACACACACAACTGCCCCACCCCTACCCCAAGCTTTCATCCTTTGCTCTGTGTCCTTCTTTGGTACCCTTCTGCCCCACCTGCATGTGAAAAAGAATTCAAAATTTAGCTGAGTCCCAGGGGTATACCAAGAAAGATCTACCTCATGTCATCAATTAAAAAGTGAAAGCCCTGTAACCTCTACGCTGATTCTAGGTAAATATCTAGGACAGTGATCACCAACCAGTCAATCTCTATTGACCAGTTGGTTGTGGAGTCTCTGTCAGTCGATCTCAGTCTGTCTGAGGCTAGGTGAGTGGGGTCAGCGCCTGGGTGGCTCCTGCAGGGGCATGGGGGGCAGAGACAGTAGATTCTGGGATGCCTAAAAGTGATCTTCACCATAAAAACGTTGGAGACTACTGAACTAGGACATGAGAGGTAGGGTAGACAGTGTCCCTTCCCAGTGTCATGTTGATGTCTATTATTTAAGTCTTCCCATGCATTTGTCCTGCATACCCTAGTCAATACTGATATGTATGCAATTCAAAAAGCTTAATGAAGTCATTCCTACTTGTTAATTATTCTACACAGTTAATGGTCCAGGGAGGTCAGAATTAAAAATAAAGACAACACAAATGGCACTGAAACTTTTACAGCATTTCAGGAATCTTCATTAATCTTTTGGTGGGCACAAGTATTGATTTAGCATCACTTTTTAGAAAGCAGTGGCATTGGTCTACCCCAGGGGTGGGCAATTATTTGGGCTGGAGGGCCACTTAGGGAGTTTTGGTGAGCTGTCGTGGGTCCGGTCAGCACTCCCCACCCCTACAACAGCTCACCAAGACTCCCTAAATGGCTCTGACCTGCACTTGGCCAGGTGGATGGGACAGGACCACTGGCAGGCGGGTAGCAGCATCCGGGAGCAGCATAGGTGGGCAGGGCTGGGGCCAGGATCGATAATACTGGGCAGTGACAGCACAGAGCCACAATCCAATCCTCGCATGCCCGTGCGATGGGTGCTGGTTCCACAGGCAGGGAGTGTGGGGAGCAGATCACACCTCTGCCCCGGGCCCCTGCCTGAGTCATCACTCAGAAATCTCAGGGTCTCCATGGAGATCAGCCTGGGACTTGCGTGGGCAGGGTGCGCTTGGCCAGGCAGATGGGATGGGCTGTGAGTGGACAGAGAGCAGGGTCCAGGAGTGGGACAGGTAGGTGGGGCCTAGAATCTGGATTGAAGGACCATGACAGTGCTGGGCTCCCCGTATGCCTTTTCCCACGGAACCAGCATCCGTCACTGGGACACGCAGAGAGAAAATCGTGGTTCTGCACTGGGCACCAGACTCACACTGTCACCACCCCCAATCCTGCCCCGAGATCCTGGTCACAGCCCCACACCATCTGTCCAGCCATGCACCCTGCCTGCCCGAGGCCCAGGTCAGACTCCATGGAGACCCTGCCCAACCAATCAATCCAGCACTCTCAATGATGGGTGTGGGGCAGACAGGCTGCAGTGCCTAGGCAGCACGGCCAAGTCCAGCCATGGCGCAGACTAGCAGTAGCAGCTGGAAGGAACCACCGCTGCTGGGAAGCAAGTCTAGCTGTTGCACTGCCCTAGCCCCACTGTGCGCCTGGGGGCTGCAGAAGTAGCTGCACATCACATACCCCAGGCTACCCACTGCACTGGTGGGGCTGAGGGACCCACTAGGGACTGGAGAAAATCTCTTGGTAGGCTGGATCTGGTCTGCAGGCTGCATTTTGGCCACCCCTGATCTACCCAATATTCAAATAGGGAACAATGCTCTCACAGAAACTGAATGATTAAACGTATTCAAAGAAACACTCTGAAAGGGGACACTGCTTTTTGAAGCTAAGCAATAAATTAAATTAATAGCCTTGATTGTCCTAAAGCCTGCATATTCATTTAAAAAGAATATACATCTTTCACACATCTTCAGATGGTGTGCCCATCCCAAGCCCAGTAACATACCAAAATTGGGGGTTATTTCCAAAATGCTTATAAATGGCATGACAAATATTAATGCTATTATAAATCATTTGAAATTACTTTATATATATTAGTAACATTATATGCAGGACATATTCATAGTCACCCTCTTGGAGGTTATCATAATTTTGGGGGTAAACTCAAATCTATATTCTAAATATTAGTGGAGCTGATTTTGCAAGGCATGTAGTACCACCAACTCCCACTGGGTCTATTAAACATTTTTTTTAAATTAACAACACTACTACCAATCAATTTTAATTCTTACCTTCACCTGACGTAGTAGATTTTGCTGCTGGTGATGCTACTCTTTTTAAGCTAGCAGGACTTTCTGAGGAACCAGAATCCATGCTTCAGAGAGAAAAATTAAAGCATTAACATCTCTAAATTTAATAAAATATAAACTATCTTAATACATATACCCTGCAATGCATTTTAAGCTACCAAGTATCAATTTGACAAAGAAAGATGACGAAATCTTTATTTAATACTTCAGTATAACAATAGTCTGAATGATATACACAAATGCAAACATGCTCTCATCCCCTCTCCTCCCAACAGAAAAATCTACATGTATTTCCAGTAGGGGTGCACCGATAGAGATTTTGGGGGCCAATACCGATAGCCGATTTTTAAGGAAGCAGATCAGCTGATACTAATCTGATTTCTGATACAGCTGCGTGCATCTGATAAGTCTGTCGTGGTAAAAGGGGAGGGGGAGGGAGAGGGAAGGGGTGTGGGGGTGCAGATCAACACCCGCACGGTGAGGGAAGGAGTGGGGCTGAGGTAGGCGCTGTGCAGCCGGGGCGGGGCACGCGCGGGATGAAGTCACGGCTCATCTGGGGGGAATGGCAGCTCCCGCTGCTCGTCTGGGAGGGCACCGGTGCGGGGGGAAGGAGGTATGTGCCCTCAGATCTGCGCTGGATGGGCCAGGCAGGCTGCAGCGCTGCACTTGGGATGGGCGACAGCAGTGCTGGGAAGGGGGCTATGGGGGGGCTCCAACCACCCCAAATTTCACAATAGCACCCCCATAGCTCCCTCCTAGCACTGCCACCTGCCCTGACAGCAGCACAGCACGGCCCCAGCCCACAGCTGCAACCCAACTGGCACATGAAAATCTGGACGCACATGCCACCCCCACCCCTCCGTGCCCTCTCAGACAAGCAGAGGGAGCAGCCAGAGGAGTGGTGTGCAGTGGTGGGAACCTTCCCCCCACATACCTCCAGATGAGCCGTGGCTCTGTCCCGCACCCACATGGGCATTTATCGGCCAAATTATCAGCCACATCAGGCCAATTTCTGATATAGTCAATTTTCTTTATATCAGTGCCGATCCAATATCAGACCGATGCACTGGTGCACCTCTACTTTCTAGTTTTCACTGCCAATGTGAATTTTGCTTTTCTGTTACATACTCTGTTAGAACACAATCTGTCTGAAACAATGCCAGCCTTTCACAACGTTTTTTTTCAGTTTCTAAGCAGTGTGCTCTAAAACTAAAGTTTGAATCTCCTCTACAGTAGATAGTACAGAATTGGTTGCAGTTTATCTTTGATGATAACAATCATTTTTCAGTTGTATGGAGAATTCTCAAGCTTGGTTCTGTATTTGGTCTACATAAAACAAATAGTGCCTCTTTTAATACCTTTTTTCCCCTGAAGTGACTATATAAAAAGTGGCACTATGTTAGCCAATGGCTCTGCCCCCTAGTATTTATTTAATGCTTTTGCTTAAATACGATTTTGCTAATTTTGTTAGTCAAAACAGGCAAAACAAAATTAGTTGTATCCTATCCTCGTTTCTACATCAACAGAACTGTAAGCTAAGTTCACCCTTCATATCTCAGGCTGGCATTTAAAAAAACAAGCCAAGAAAACTAAAATTAATTTTAACAAAATCAGCTTTACACTTTAAAGTGTAGCCTACAAATATATGTATCTTAACACTTTAATGTTTAAACAAAGTTTTTGTGAATTTTAACAAAGCCAAACTGAAATACCTTGTTGACTTCCTTATTGGGCCTGAAATAAGCTTCACGTATGATTTAGGAAACCATCCTTTTTGACCTTGGACCTCTCCAAACCACCACATATCTTGCTGCTCCAGAACTGTTATGATATCATTTTTGTTAAAATTAAGGTGGTTGTCCTTCTTGGCTCTCCAAGGATATAAAGCCTGTGCTTGAAGCCCTTCTACTTTTTCACCCTAGAGTGATGAGAGGAGAACATTAAATTAGGCAGTGCCTTTTGCAAGAAGGCTGCTTAAAAAAAAAAAAAGATATTCTGTATCCAAAAATGAATGCAGCAACACATATAGGTGCATTTAGTCTCTATTAAAATGTTTTTTCTCCCAATTGAATAAACCAAATAGACCAGTTAAAAATACATGCATTGTACACTGAGCAGAATATGTTAATACTAATTACCAGTTTTTATGTCCATTCTTATTAAGGGGAACAGGCTATAAACACTTTGTAAGAATAGTAGTTTTCAACAAAATATTTTATCTCATTTTCTATACTTCTGTCATAAACCTCTATAAATAAAAAGACAAGCCTTCCTGACAAATGGCTTCCAGGAAGCCTCGCAGCAAAGAGTATGTGAAGGATATATGTTTGCTGGAATTTATTCATTATGCTCTTCTGCATTCTAGTTGCTTTATGGAGCTATGGTACCTAACGTATTTCAGAACATTAAGGAAATGGATTAGGACTACCAGGATTACCTTCTTACCTTGCATACAACACACCCCCCCCCCCCCCACCCCCCCAGGCCAAAAAAACCAAAACAAACCCAACTCCTGGAAATTTCAGTGCATGTTATATGGAAGAAATATAGTAAGAACAGTTCCTATCATAAAAGCAAAAGTTAAACTAAAATCAGTGCATGACTCACAGGAAACAGAACAGTGAGCAAGTTCTACTCCCTATCTCTTGCTACTCAGTGGGCGCATCTACATGTTCAATAATGCACCATAGTTACTGAGCATTAAATTTAGTACTTGGTTAACCAAGTATTGAATCGATGCACAACAACTTGTGCTACCGCGCAGTAGCACCAGTGCACAGGTTTTTAGTGACGCTTCCTGTGCAGCAGCTTGTTAGTACAGTTTTTGCGCAGCACGCTACTATGAAGCATTATTAGGCTACTGCACAGTTAGTGTCTCAGGTAGATGCACCCAGTTACAAGGAAAGATCTTTTTTCCTTCATCCTGCCTTTCAAAAACAAGGTGTGTATTATATTCTGGGGTGTGTTGTACGCAAGAAAAATATTGGTACTGGGGTCTAAATGACTGCTTGCAGGGTTTGGATTGAAGTTCCAGGAATTTCTAACTGCATTTTGCCACTCCTTTCCTGTAAGACTTTGGATCCTCTTTCCATCTTGAAATAATTTTCCCATATTAAAGGAATGCTGCAAAGACAGCTTCATGTTTGTACTTTGTTTGAAAAAGTTAAAATGCTACATCAAGCATTATTCTTGAACAATTATAGCCACTTACTTGACCCAGGACAGGAGAAGGAGATGATCCAGTTACAGTGGCTGGAGTGAAGGCTGATCTTTGCCGCAGCTGTCCTGCACTTGGAACAGTTAAAGATGGCTGGGTTGCCCAAGCATCCCAGTTATCAGTTTCTGGCTTCTCACTAGTGCTAGTTGGCCACCTGAAAATAAGAAACCAATGTTATTAATTTTTCATTTCTACCAGTACATCCACTTCTGCATCCAAACAAGCACTGTGCTGGTAGAAAAATATTGATGCTGGACTTCTATTGTTTAGGGAACTGGTATAACTACACCAGCAGACTGTGTCATTAGTAATACAGTTGAAAATGAACATATGCCAGGCTGTGCCAGTTGAATATGAATATATTATAGACTAGTTTTGCTGGTAAAAACTTTGCATTCTAGACTAGGCCAGTGGTTTTCAACCTTTTTTCACTTGCAGACTCCTATAAAATATCCAATGAAGGTATGGACCCCTCTGAACTGTAAGTGTGGGTATTCACATACTTTTCATTTATCACAGTCATCTTTTGCGGCATCCTTAGACAGTCTGCAGACCCCCATAGGTCTGCAGACCACAGGCTGAAAACCACTGGATTGGGCCTAAAAGTGAACAAAACTGATCTCTGTTGGGTCTGTCATATAAAGAACAGATTTAATGGTGGAAGAGTTCTAAGATTCAGTGTGCTTGGGTACATTTTAGATCAGAAACTGGTTCTAACTTGTATGGGTTTTATTTAGTCTTCTATGATTAGCTAAATCTATGTATGGGATCATCTTAAATAATCAACCAGCCCATAAATATAAGTTCCCATTCACTATCAGTGCTTTGGAAAAAGGAATATTTTCAATACTCAACCAAAGTAAAGGAAGTCCAGTGTCACCCTACCCTCAACACACACATTAAGTTAAAAGCAACAAATCATCCTGAGAGTGTACAGAAAACATCTACATTTTACATGAAATTCTTGTTCCTGGCTTTTGTGCCATTCATTTACAATATTTACTGGAATTTAAGATGACCCTGAATATAAGATGCCCAGCCAATAATTTGATTCTATACATGGAAAATTTATAAATTTGTTATAATTTTCTATGTATAGAATCTACTTATCGGAGACCCATCTTTAATTCAGCCCCTGCACTGCTGCAGGGGGCAGGCAGTGGGGGGCAGCAGGTGGTATGGGGAAGGTCAAGCAGCTTGCTCCTTCTTTATGCTTGCTCTTTGCCACCTCTGCCCCCTGTCAGCCCCCTGCAGCCTCAGGTTCCCCCTTCCCCTTCTGTTCCTGCTCCTGTCGCTTCCCCTTCTGCTTCCTTGGTCCCTGTATTTCTATAAGACCCCCCCAACACATCCTCCCAGCCTCTGCTTCCCCCACCTCCCCCTACCCTTGTTCTGTGCTGGCAGGCTCCATCCAGGCTGTAGCTTGGGTCACTGAGCACGGCCCAAGCCCCTGTAGCATCTGTGCAAGGCTATGTGCTACTGTTAGGGACCATGCTGGGGCCACGCTCACTACCCCAGGCTGCAGCATGGACAGAGCCTTCCAGCATGCAGCAAAAGTAAAGGAGGAGGGAAATGCCCAGGCAAGGGAGCAGAAGCTGTGTACAGTGGGGAGAAGGGGGAAAGAAGCTACAGAGGAGGAGATGGTGGGGTGCAGGGGCAGTGGGGTGGGGGCAGGGACAGAAAGCAGCTGCAGCTATGGCCCTGACCCCAAGTAGAAGATGAAGCTCATGCTGTAGCAGCTGCCTGCCACCCACTACCCTTGTATGGGATTCTAAGACAAAGGGCTTCCCTCCCATGTTAAATGGGGGAAAAATGCATCTTAGAATCAAGTAAACATAGTAATATTACACTACACACTGAAGCAATGCCTCACATTCACACCCACACAAAGCCTCACTGCACCAAGTGTCGTACAATCATGGTATGCAGTAAGCACCGCGGGCTGAAGAGTATTTTTTTTTATGTTCTGTTGCATTAATTTTATGCAAGGGCATTAAAAAATGCATTATTCCCCTAAGGCCAGAACAGCTTTCCCCTGAGCCTGTTTTCTTTGTAACAAACTTCCTTTTGTATTTATCTGTTGGACTGGTACAGTGGAAGCATGTCTTTTACTTGGAAAGTCTTTTTCTCTGAACGTTGTATCCTGTTGCTGAAGGAGTAAAATATTTTACTTAAAAACAAAGGAGAAAGGAGTTACGGAAGCAGCTCCTACTAGAGACAGTCAATCCTTTATTCTTTTAAAACATGTTATCTGTAGTGTCCTGAGAAACTCATTTGCCATGTTAACTGTCTGCTTGCTTCTTATCCTAAAGCATGAGTAAATTATCAGGAATTTTAACTTAATGCAAATTAACTACCTGAAAACCAGCTTCATCACAGCCCAAGTGCTACTCACAACTACCCGCCCCCCCCCCAGACGTACGTTGAGCTGAAGTCTGCCCAGTTGTTGGCGGTGGTTGTAGTAGATTCTGTAGAAGCTGGTGCTGCCAGAGATGTGGGAGTTTCACGCACAGAAACTTTAGGTGCAGCTGTAGTGTCAGGTACTGGTTTAACAGAAGCTGGGACTTCATTATCAGGTATTTTCTCTGCATTGCTTGCAGGGACCCATCCAGTCTTTCCCTTCAGTTCACCTCCAAGCCACCCTGGTTCTCCAGTCTGGCTTTCATCTACCTGCAGGCATGTTAAGACACAACGATCACAAACATGACATACAAAATGGGTGGTTTATTTAAAAAGTCCAGCTCCTGTTCAGCTGATTGTTTCTCTAATTACTGTGAAACTGCACTTTGTTACAGAAGTAAATGATTCATTTGGGCAAACGTTAGTAAATGTTACTCTTTCTTTAATTCATGGGTGTCAAACATGCAACCTCCAGGCCAGATCCAGCCCCCAGAGCTATATCACCTGGCCCCCAGTGCTTCCCACAGGTCTTAGAGTGACCCACAGGCAGCATGAAGAGTGCTCTGGACAGCCTTGTGTGCTGCACAAGGAGCCCATTCCAGATTGCGTCCTGGAGCATTGGAGTGGCTGCCACAAGCAGCACAGCTTCAGAGTGGCCACAGACCCATGCAGAACAGCTATTGCAGCAGCGGCTCCGAAGCCTTCTAAAATGGCCCCATGGTGTCTGGAGCAGGATTGCGCTGCACAAAGTGCCCAGTCTAGATCCAGAAGGCAGGGAAAATCTGTAAGCCTGGGTGAGTTTGACACCCCCACTTTAACTGAATTAGTAATTCTTTGTAATGGATTGACTATTGTAGGACCAATCCCTCAATTTTTACAATTATTTTTTTCATGTCCTTTTCAAACACTGCCTAGTAAGTAAAGACTTCCTATTTAAATCCCAAAGAATGAATTAAATACGGGCTTGGAGAATTGTTCCTGAAAAACTTACTGTAGCATAGCAGGCTCTTAAAGCCATTTACTCCTACGAAATCTACTATAATTTAACAAGAAGTCTCAAAATATAATATAAAAGACATTTCAGGAAATTTGTTATTTAGTGGGTTGTCCTACAGCCTTTTTTCACCCTCAGAAAGTACAATAAAAACAGCAACTTAATATCAGCATTCGTAAAGCCACTAAAAAGAACATTATTTTTCTTAATATATTTATGCAAACTATTTTGGCAGTAAATATATGTTTCCTTGCAGACAACTGTTTATTCTCCTACAATCTTCCTTTAATTCTTCTCAGATAAGAGCCACAAGCTATAATGAAACCAAGTTGTTTTTGCTACTATTCTGTCACTTCAACCACTGTAACAAAATCTGACAAACCCCAGATTTTTGTTAACCTTCCCTTATTGTTTTATATTCACAGTCTGAAAGGTTTCAATTGTAGTCCACAATCTTAATTCACTGCTTCAACAATAATAGACAATATTCTATGATATGAAATCAACTGTATTGGGCAACACAGGATGCGCCTGGGACAGTAACTCACAAATGTTATCTGCTAGTTAGTCATCAACACTGGACGGGCAAATGAAGAAAATTTTCCTGTTTGTATGCCGGGCGCTTCATGCACTACGGAAAAAAATGGAAGAGATCTTCTGAGCTTTTACCAGTCAGGCTCTTCTTCCATGTGCATGACTGGGCATGGGCTGGCTCCTCCACAGGCCACAGAAACAATAGGGAGGATGGGAAGAGTGTCACAGAAGCAGGACAAAGTTATAAAAGCCCTCTTCTATTTTTTTCCTATTGTTTAGAATTTGATATTGCAAATTGAAAGATATTGCAAATGGAAAGGTATTGCAAATTCAGTACATAAGTTGATATGAAAAGTGCACATAGGAATTCCTGCCCAAATAAGCTATGCCTACTTCAGAAAGCGTTTTCAGATGCAGGTAAACAGATAACGGTTTTAGGTGTGGTTTTGTTCCATGAAAATGTATGCCTTTTTTACCCAAGCAGTTAAAGCTGGTTTCATCTAAACATAAATGCAAGAAACACTGATTGAAGTGTTGCAGGGGTTTAGGCTGTAGCCGTGTTGGTCTAAGGATATAGGCAGACAAGGTTCCTTGGGTGAATTTGATATCTTTTATTAGACCAACCCAAATGGTTGGAGAATAGTTGTTAAGCAAGCTTTCGGGTTCAAAAACCCTTCGTTAGGCTCAGGAAGCTGCAGCAGTTGGTGTGTGCTCTTCCATCTATTCTTGAACCATTTCTCCAAATAAGACATTCTGAGCACCACAGCTAAGACATATGCAGAAGGGCTGGGACCTGCGGGAACAGAGGTCACCCCTTGAAGTTACCTGCAACACTGAGCTCTCTCATCACTGGACAATTCCTGTTAGCCCTAACTGATGTTAAGATTAGCTGCTGGGGAAAAAAGTTTCAGACACCTCCACAGGGAAGAAAGTAGATGCTGCCCACTGTACTAATCCAAATCCTGCCATCTCTGTCCCTTGAAATTTGTAGGCGATGATTACTTGACAGCTTTAATTTTTCAGGCACTATAAACAAAACACATCCATCACTTCTCTTTTTTGACACAGACAGTGAGATTCTTTAGTCAGCACTATCTACCTATACAGAAAATACATCCAAGGGCAGCAGGTCCTAGACCTTCCTTTAAAGAGAAGCTGGTCACAACATGGTGAAGTGGGGAAAGATTTTAAAGTTAGAGTGCAAGCACCTTCCATGTGAAAAAATGCAGTTTGTCCACAGACTGCAAGAGAAAAATCCAGTTTCATTTTTTTTTTAATTGAGCTCACAGTGAAGCCTACCCAGTATAGACAGCCTGGCAGAATCTTGTATAAATAGATTTGCAGGGACCTCATTTTCCAGTAGGCTGGTCAGGTCACAGACAGCTTGAGAAGCTAGTTAGAACTGGAGGCAGCTGTCCCATATCCTCCTCTGTCTTTCCTGCTGCCAGGATAGGTCAGGCATCAGTAGTTACCTGCCTGGGTTGCTTGTTGAATGCATTGTTAAACAGGGCTGTGGTCAACTGGCCACAACTTTGAGGTATCCACCTCCATCCTTAGTTGTCCCATGCCATTTGCAATGAATTCCAGTTTTGAAGGATTCAAGATTTCAAGATTCTCTTCTATTTAGTAGACCAGAGGTTCCCAATGCAGTGCCCGCAGGTGCCATGGTGCCCCCCCCCCCCCCCCCCGGGTTTTTTCGGGGCCGCAAAGCGGGGCCCGCTGGGCCCGTGGTGCCCCCCCCCCCCCCGAGGTTTATTCAGGTGCCTGCGCGCATTTTCAGTAAAAATAATTATTCCAACAAAAAATGCTGTCATATTGGCGCCCGCTGCCTTTTCTTTTAAATTTGAATGTGCTCTTGGGCACATAAAAATTGGGAACCCCTGTAGTAGACCACTAGAGGGCCATACTTTAGGGCATCGGTTCTCAACCTTCTTTGTACTAAGACCCATTTGTAAATATCGATGACCAGTCCTGACCCAGTGCCCCTCACTCCTGACCTACTGCCCCCTGTCCTCAGGCCCTAGCCCCCCAGTGTATGGGGCAGGGGGTGGGTGTGTGGGGCGGGACGGCCTCAAGCAGCCCCTTGCAGGCTGCAACTCTGCCAGTCTGCAAGGGAAAAGCCACCATTTCCTATGTTTTTCTCCTTTAAACGAGAATCCATTTTTAAAGTTTGTTCATGACCCTTTTATATGTGACCCATTTTTGGGTCATGACTCAAGGGTTGAGAAATACTGCTTTAAAGCATATCAGAAATCCAACGCAAAGCATGGATTGTACTCTACTGTTGGCTTGAGTGCAGCAAAAGAGAACTAGGATCCTTTCCATTTATTAGTCAAGGGAGGATTTTAGCAGGTTTTACTAAGTTGTGGCAATATTATACCATAATAGCATGCAATAATGTTTCATACAGATGGATCTAAGGGGACCATCATAACACCAATGTATTTCTGCTCTGCGAAAACTGTTAATCTATCAGCAGAGCTTCTTTGCAGAAATGCCTGTCATGACACTGTAAATAAACTATTCTCTATTCAGGGTGGGAATGGTGTATTACATACAAACTACTCAATCTGTAATACTAAAGCTTCTGGCTGCAATTGTCCCTGGACTACTCCCCCCTACTCCTGCTAGACTGCTCTGCCTTAGGCCATGTGCTGATTCTTTTGCCCATCTGCTACCAAAATGTGTATCCCACGCTCTTCTTTTGGTGCTAACCAGTCCATTATTTCTCCTTTCTGCTGGTCCTGTCTTGTCCCTCTGTCCCTATTAATTCACAGGGAAAACAGAAATAAATGGACCACATGCTTGGCCAGTTCAGTGTGGCTTTGCTGCAGTGCAGAACAACATTTTCACTGCAGTACAGCATAGACACTAAGGCATTATAATGGAAGGTCAGCAGTAGAGGGTGAATCTTGCCAAATAAGGGGAATAAATGTAAATAGCAGCACCTGACTTGTGAGGCTGAACAATCCAAACTGCATATCAGTAGCACTCCCAGAAAGTTGCAAAGGTAGTAACTAGAATCACTGATATACAGGGTCAGCAATAAAAAGTCATGACTGGTCATTTATTCTATAAAAGATGTCATCTTAAAAATGGACCACAAGTACAGGATTATGAGTCAGATTTTCAAAAACTTTTTGCACAACTCTGATTTTAAAATAACTTATTTAAGGTTTCACTAATCAACAGAATTAAAAGCTCTCTCAAAAAACAGCCTAATCATGCATGTAAAAGATTAATTTCTTCAATCCAGTTTAGCTTTTCATGCAAATCTGTATGTATGACATTTTCCCCTTTCCACTTCCCATCTATCCAAAGGACAGTTATTGTAGAAATTTACTGCAAAATTAATTTATTGTAGAAAGGATTTAAAATTCAAATATGCCTCAACTCTTACCCCTTCCAGAACAAGAAGTTTATCATTCTGTAACTGCCAACTTAACTAATATCAGCCATTAAAAAGAACACCTGGAGTTGTGAGGCAAAGGAAAGCACTATGCTATTTTGCAGTATCCATTTTCTGCATGTGTTCCACCTTCCCAATAAACCTACACTATTTAAAACACAAATCTATACACAGTGTTTTAGGAAGAGGTTTTGATTCACTGTAAACCTTACTTCATGTAAAACTTTGCAATGGGAATACTCAGGGTATGAAAACAAAGTCTCACAAAGTATTCTGTTAAACTGGAAGCGAATACCACCATTATATCTTTGTTCACCTGACCTTTGTACCAGCTGAAACAGGGTGTCTCTTTTTCAATTCTACTTTACCAAAAACTGGTACGATTTTATGTTGATGCTAGATTGGCTTTTACTACTACTCTGAAAGTCAGCTCTTTGGGGTAGAAGCTCTTAACTGTGTGGACATGCTATGCCTAGCACATCAGGTTTTGCTCTTCAGGTCTATGATACAGAGAACAATCATTCTTTTCATCATCATCAGAAAAAATAATGACAGCCTACAATGAATCACTATGAAATGACTTTAGATTTGGGACAGAAATGAAGCTTCCTAATTGGTCTCTCCATTCCTCTGATACCCAGGCCAATGAATTTGGCAATTCAACAATCCAACTTTGCTTCATGGAATTATGTTAAATTCATTCCAAAATCATTCAGATATAGAAGTTGGTTTATGTCAACAATATTTCCCCTTGAACAGAATTGCCCTCCTCCAAACCTGGCCATCCAATTTACAGACACAGGAAAGATTCATCACTACCCCAAAAAGCAGTTTAGGGGTTATGAATTTGTGAGAAAGCCTAGAATAGAAGGAATAGGAGGGGCTGCCTAGACCTCAACTATTATTATGCTCAGTACTGCTTAAGCAGTACTGATACATATATATAGTAGTCTCAGCCTAATTGCATGGAAAGTTTAAGAAACTTGCAAAGCTTCTACATTATAGTAAAAACTAAATAGCTAAACAACAGAAATAACAGAGATAGAGATAATGTACTTCAAAAAACTTTAACTTTTCCCATCATGCCACACAGATTCTGTAGGCCACTACACGTTCATAACATAGCATCACAGTATTGCAGATAATCAGTGTGTATCCAAGACTTTCAGAGCAAAGCACAAAGAATACATCTACTTTTATACAGAGCAGACAGACACTGGCGTAGAAGGACTGCATGTAGAAAGTCTATCTGAATTTTTAGTGATCTGTTTATACCCTAAAAATTAAAGCCCCCTACCAACACTCCCTACAGGGTTTAAACTTGTATTTCACTTTTGTTATAAACTACCTGCAAACTATGGAACAGCTAAAGCAATATTCAGTCCAGTCATGTTTTAACCACGTCTCCACACCACACTACAGTCCTATTTATGCCCAAGGATTGGACAAGTCTTGGGAACATGGTGAAAAACAATATATCTCCTGTCTACACTATCAGCCTGACCTGTACCTTTCAACATAACAGTTACAGCATAGGCAGCATTGGAGTTGTTGCTGGATGCTGCTCCAATGTAGACTTGCCAGGAAGCATGGACAAGCCAAGTCATAGACAATGTTAAAAATGATCACTGACAGTTGTTCTAAGTTAGCATATGCCTTTGCATATTTTGTATTCTTGAACATAAAACACACTGAAAGTCTGACTTTGAAATTAAGAAAACAAAACAAGGGTATATATCTACAGTGCATACAATTTTTTTATTCAAATTTAAGATGCAGGCCATTTTAGAAGAAAAGTTTAGCTTTTAAAAAACCTGTTACATATAGTCAAAGGAACATGGATGACTTATTCTATACCACCCTGGCTGGTTTAGAACTATTATAAGCTTCAAATTTCACTACAGAATTTAGGTTGTGTTACTGGACACACACATATGTGATCCTATATACATCTTAGAATGTAAGCTTGCAAACCACTGCTCTCCAAAAACAAGACTGACATATAACTCTTAAGCAGCACAGAAAGGGACACACATTTTTAAGAATGCCTACATAATGGAGGAGTCCAAATCCCACTGTCTAAAGTAACTTCAGCTCTTAAGTGACAGCTACCCTGGGAAATGGGAGTTTGGTATATCTGATAATTTAACTTTAGATAATTAAACACACATGTAAACTAAACATGTAACAAAGTTATACTTAAAAAAATGCATGAATAGATTGTGTAGACTTCCTAACAGTCATACAAGCACACTTACCCATTCCCTTTTAACCTCCATCAGGAAAGCAATGATGTAAAGTAAGGCAGAATTATAACACATTTCACAAAAGTCACTTACTTGTATTAGTGTTTCGAAGCTTAGTTCATTTAAGCAATTACTACAGAGTAGGAGAGAAATCCCACCGGAATCAGTTTTTAGGTTTAATTATTGTCAAAGTTTTATTTAAAATTTTAAAAAGCAAGGGCCAGAGTACAGTTTCTCCTTGGTATATCATGAACTAGAAGTGAAGTCTAAAGTCATTGAAAAGGGGAATTCAGGCAGTCCAAACCATTATTTGAAATCCAGAAGTGCCCCCTAAAATCAAATTCTTATTTTTCCAAAATGCTGATTTTCCTCAGTTCCAGTTTGTCTTGCAAATCATTTAGTTAACTGGTGCCTAGGTTTCCTCAAGCAAAACTCATAGTATGCTTGTACTTCTAGAAGATACTTTATTCCCTGGGAAAGAAATGATTGAAGAGTTCCTCAATAACCTAGGGAGCCCCATATACCACATTTGACAGGTGACTTGCCAACCTCACATCTTTAGGTTAAAAAAAATTATCAAAACACTGCACTCCAAATTGGTTTGGGTCTTTTTTTTAATCATTTGCATTTTCTCATATTCACAGTGGATTTTGATGTCATTCACAATGTATTGTGACATTGTTGAATAAACCAAAGAGGAGAAATAGGCTTTTTTATACATTTTAGATAGTTATTAAGATATGTTACTATATTACAGAGTTGTTTTTTTTCCAAAACCTAAATAGTTTGCTAGGGTGCAATAGTTCTTAATATAACCGGGAGGCTAACAGTGAAATGCTTTTTACCAACCAAGCTAGATTTTCACTGAGAATATTTTGAAGTGAAAAATGACACTAGGATGTTATGACTGCATTAGAGTTATGAATTTCTTAATTATCTAATAACTGTAGCAACAGGCTTGGACACATCTTAAGTATTCCAGTGCTCTTTCCTGCCCAGGACAGGGGCTCAGACTTGATGATCTGCTAAGGTCCCTTCCAACCCAAACGTCTATGAATTTATTATATAAAGCTAACTGAATATTTTAGGCAGGTTCAGTGACTGGTACCACCAGGCACTGCCACTAAAAAAGATACATTCTAATATTTCTCCAACCAAATTTTCAGTCTCTCATAATTTTAATTTTTCAGACTAACATTTTCCTTATTTTATCTTTGCTTCTAAGTGAGCTGCTGAAGTGGTTCAGCAAGAACCATATCAGTCATTTTAAAGTAAAACATAAGGAATAATACTGGAAAAGGAAAGTTATTCTACAAATGAGTCCGAATCAAAAAAGCTATGTTGGAACATTATGCCAACAAACAATAGTGTGTGTGCACGCGTGTGCACATATATAGCTGATTTTTAATATGGAGATTAAAGTAGTTCACGCAGCTCCAGGATCAGTTTTAGATCAACTTAGAATTCCAACTAGATTTAGTAAAATGTTCTGATTTCAACATATAGACTCCATCCTCAAAACTGACAATATTAATTATGGAACTTCTCTGTTTTGAGAACAAGCGTCTCACTGAGGAATTGGGAACCTGTCTACAAACACTTAAGACTTCACAGCCAAGCTGATTAACAGATGGCATACTAAGATTGATACACAACAGTTTGTACACTAAAATTGATGGTTTGTTCAGTTATAAGCTACAGTACTCTATGTTACAGTGAACTTGATGGAAGTTGACCATTTTTCTCACAGAGGGAATATGGAATAACATCAAATCTTTACAACTTGCAAAAGCTCCTGCATACATAATTTCAAAATTAAAATGCAATTACATTGGTATAAAAGGCTAAGTAGATATGTAAAAAATCTATATATATTTTCCCCCAAGAGTCATACTTCCTTCTTACCATGACAATGTCACCAGGCTGAATAGAGATTTCATCATGGCTTCTGGATTCAAAAGGATACAATGCTCGATAATATACTATTTTTACATCCTCCTGAGCAGAAATGGTTAGTGGAGCTTTTTCTACATACAGAGTGAAAAAAAAGTATTAAAATTAAAAGTATCATGTTTGCTGAACACCAAAGAAATTTGAGGTAAACAAACAAGTGGGAAAGTGTTAACAAATCAATCTCCACTATGCTCCTGAGAGGTAGAACAAACACTATCCTCATTTTACAGAAGGAGAAATAAGCAATTAATAAACTTCCTTTCTTATTTTTTCTAGCTACTTAAAATATTAACATGCTTTCAGTTTTCATAAGGCTACATCTGTTTTTACAGAAAATAGCTGTATCATTAAAGACCCTGTCACAAAGTTTTATTTTTAATTAAGCACACAGTGGGTTAATTGATTAGTAAGTTCCAGACTCAGTGGTCACTGTTCACATATTAATCTTGGCTGTGTAGTTTGTCAAATACTTTTACAAAACAGCTTTCTTTGTGACCCGCTTATACTGCTGCAAACTATAAGATGCTATAAGGTGACCTAATAAATATGCATTAGGTTAGGTAAGATAAGAGGTGACATTGATATATATTTTCTTATAACAACACCTATCACACATATGTGAGAAATCTCATGGTAAGGGAGAGAAGAGTGTAAAGGAAAAGAAACAGAAAGACAAGACGTTAAACCAACTCCCCTACCCCACACATTCCCCTAACACAAAAAATGTCCTCTGCTTTTCTGCACATTGTTAAATGCATATACAGGTCAGTCGCATCTTACACAGGGGTTACATTCTGAAGTCAGCGTGTAAGGCAAAAATCGCGTATAGTCAAATTGCGATTACCGTGCCAGCGATTTGACTAGCGGTGACTGCCTCTGCCTCCAAAACCTTCCGCTGCTGCCACGGAGCCTTGCTTAGAAATGTGCGGCCGGCAGCAGCGGCACAACGCGGGGTGGTGGTGGGGATGGCTGCGTGCCGCCCAGCCACCATCACGCTGCTGCTGCCGCCCGGCGGCTGGGCACACAGCTCCGGGCACCGCTCCCTGG